CAGTCGCTTAACCAACTGAGCCACCCGGGCACCCATGATATTGTTTCTTACACCAGTAGTAAAGGACTTACTATACTTTTTTTCCCCTTTAGTTCTTGAAACAGATGTATGTCCTTGTATTGGGCTTAGATGTGCTTGGAAACCCATTTGGATTAATTAGAGGTCTGTCTGAAGGAGTTGAAGCTTTATTCTATGAACCCTTCCAGGTATTGATCTTTTATTTATTTTAAGTATAGGTACAGAAAATGTTACTCTGTTTTTTTAATGACAAATAATTTGTACTTTAATTGTATCTGGGAATTGAATAATGTTCAGGTAACAAAAATACATCATATTTTATTTAAAATTACATGAGATGACATTAAAAGATGGTTGTAGAATTAATTGAGCACTTCCAGTGTCTGGGCGATAAATGTGCCCACATTTTCCAGGATTTCACGTAGTTGTAAGGAAGAATGCTAGGTAGGTTAACACCATTTCAAACCTGTTTCACCACTATGGAAAGGACTCAGGATAAGAAAAGCTGACTTTGTCTCGTATTCAAGCTTTCCTCTAACCGGTTCACCTCCATTGGGTGGAGGAATCCAGGAACCCAAAGTAGTGAGGGTTTTAGCAGGACAACACAGAGAGAACACATGGGAGAAAAAGACTGTGTGGGGTCTTAGTCTCGTTACCAGTGCAGCTTGCTGCAGCAGTCTGATGGGACTTGGCACTGGGAGGCCGACTCCAGATTGTGACTGAAACTGTGATTTATTCCTATCCAGATTTTGTCATCTCAGAAGAGTTTGCCCATGTGGGTTGAAGGTATCTTCAGACACAATAGGTGTGCCGTCAGTATTTGAGTTAGAGGGTGAAAATTGGTATCACAGTGTTTGTGGATCTTTACAGATTGCCTGTCTTCATGGAAACCCTGAAATACTAGATCAAAAGTCTTAAGCTTATTTAAATTTTAAATAGCAAACTTTTCTCTCTCTCTCTCTCTCTCTCTCTTTTTTTTTTTTTTTGGTCAGGGTGCTGTTCAAGGCCCTGAAGAATTTGCTGAGGGCTTAGTGATTGGAGTAAGAAGTCTCTTTGGACACACTGTAGGTATGTATCACCTATTTGTGTCTATAAATATATATATTTTTTATTATAATTCTAAAATGCAGTTTATAAAAAATAAAGAGGATCAGTTTTCTAATAATCCCTTTTAAAAGATATGTTCCCTTGTTCTTAAATGGAAAATAACACTGACTTGCTGGGTTTGTTTATATGTCTTTGTAGTGTTGTATCAATGTGCTTTTTTTTATACAATACTTTTTAGAACAGTTTTAGGTTTACAGAAAAATTTTGGAGAATCAGTGTACTTTAAATAGTTTTATTCTTCTTCTTGATAAATGGGAAATGATAAAAATACATTTCTGTATGTTTGTCTATGAGACCGAGGCTGAAGCACCTGTTTAAAGCAATGGTAATGGTCTTTAAAGAAACAGTGTGACTTCTCTGGGTCTTCCGATAGGTGGTGCAGCAGGAGTTGTATCTCGCATCACCGGTTCTGTTGGAAAAGGTTTGGCAGCAATTACAATGGACAAGGAATATCAGCAAAAAAGAAGAGAAGAGATGGGCCGACAGCCTAAAGATTTTGGAGACAGCCTGGCCAGAGGAGGAAAGGGCTTCCTGCGTGTAAGTCTCTTACTAAATCTTCAAGAAGCCCTGAACTTTGATATATACTTTACAAATGTACTTTAGCTGGTTTTTCAAAACTTGGAATATTACTTGTGAGTCAGGGTCTGTCACAGTAGCAGTAGTGATAAATTGTGGACTTTTCTGTTTCCTTCTGGGCTCTCCTTCCCCAATATCACAATCACATCTATCCCCCAAATCCCAGACTTAGTTTGGCACTTGGGCTGGAGTGAGAGCACTCTTCTGGAAGGCAAAGAAACAAAGCAGAGAGAAATATGGTACATTATGGTAACTAGGGGGAGGAAAAGTTGTTCGGGTCATTATCAGTTGACCATTTTTGTGGAGGGGAGGTATACAAGCTGAGTGTTTGTAAACCAGGAACTGCCTTTCACTGTTTTTCAGTACTTTAAAAATTATACAGGTAATATATGAATAGTCTCTGTATAAGTAATTATAAGAACTTGTCAGTTCTCCTTTTAATAAGTAATGGAAATATTATAGGTAAAGCCATAAAGTACTATTTGATCACCCTCACCTCTTCCCAGAAATATCTAATCTTCTCAACAGTGTGCATACTTCAGTTCTCTTTCTGTGCATTTGTGTAATGTACAGGTAGTCTTATTTACTACCATTACTTGGCAAGTGTTAAGAATGTATAAGTGTATTACTGTTTTAATTTTGGAAATAATTTCAGGAACTGTAACTTCTGTGTTTGTACCAGTGTTGTATGTTTTCTAATTGAAAGTGCCTTACTTGTCAGGCTATTTGCGATCCTTCACAGTTCCCTTCATTTTCAGTTTTCCACACTTCCGCTAAATTACGAAGTCATTTCATTAAAATTTATAATTAGATCTTAGGGATTATTTGGGTCAGCTCATTCATTTTACTGGTATAGAAACTGAGGTTTAAAGAGATTGAATCAATTGCCCATGGTTACGTAGCTGATTGGTGCCAGAGCCAGATGTAGAATATTTTCATCTGCTTTCTATTTCTTTCTGTTATAAAATGTTACTTCTACAAAGTGCTTTTGTTTAAAATTTACTATTGTATAATATTTTAAAAATCATAGTGCCTCACTTAGGTACATGTTCACATTATCAAGTTAAGTCCTCATTCTTTAAAAAAAGTTATTTCTAGTATGTATGTAGAGACCTCTAGTGGTTGGCTTAAAATTAAGCAATTTCCATTCAGGTTTATGATTGATCTCTCTTTCAGGGAGTTGTTGGAGGAATGACTGGGATAATAACAAAACCTGTGGAAGGTAAGTTGAGAATGTTTCCTTCCAGTGCAAAGTCTGAAGAGTTGATATATAATAAACGTAATAGATGTTATTGCTATGAGTTATTTGAGAGAATTTCTGATTTCATGTTCATAGTCTTCAGTTGTTTTTTAGTCAATGTACTTTTTTCAGAAAGTTGAAAGAATCTATTAAGTAATAGACTCTCACCCAGACTTTGAATGTTATTTTCAGCAGGATAATAGTTAAACTAGGTTCCTTTAGGTCTTCAATAGCAATTGATTCATTTTTTTTTAATCCTGTTAAAAAAGTACTTTATTCGATCAAAACCCCAGTTGGCTTCTTTGTAGAACTTGACAAGCCGATTCTAAAATGGGGATTCAAGTGGCCCCAAATAGCTACACCAATCTTGAAAAAGAACAAAGTTGGAGGACTTACACTATCCAATTTAAAAACTTAGCATAAAGGTATAGTAGCCAAGACAGTGTGTTACTGGCATATGGATAGACATAACAGATCAGTGGAATAGACTTGAGATTCCAGAAGTAAACCCTTACATTTGTGGTCAGTTGATCTTCAACAAGGGTGCCAAGATAATTCCATGAAGAATAGCCTTTTCAACAAATGGTGCTGGGACACCTGGATATAAGCACAGAATTTATGTGTCTGGCAACAGCTCCACTTCTAGGTATATACCCAAGAGAATGGAGAACATATGCTCACTCAAAAACTTACATATAAATGTTCACAGAATATAATAGCCAGAATGTGGTAGCAACCTAAAGGACTATCAACTAATGCATAATTAAATAAAAGGTGGTATACCTTACAATGGGATAGTATCCAGCTGTAAAAAGAAATCAAGTGCTGATACAAGTACAAGATGGATGAACCTTGAAAACATGTTGCTAGGTGAAAACAGCCAGTCAGAAAGACCACGTATTGTTTGATTCCTTTTGTAGGAAATGTCCAGAATAGGCCAATCCACAGAAATAGAAAGTAGATTAGTGGTTGCCTAGGTCTGGGGGCTAGGGAGGAAGGAGCTAAATTGCACAGGATCCGGTGAAGATGGGTTGGGGGAAGTGGAGAATGATGCTAACAGTCATGTGGTTTCTTTTTGCGATGATACAAATTTTCTAAAATTGACTGTGGTGATGGTGGCACATGTTAATGTACCAGAAACATTTAATTTGTACATTTCAATGGGTGAATTATAATTCAATAAAGTTCTTATACTTAAAAAAAAAAGTATGCTGCTTGAAAAATCTTCTGATGGTAGACATAAAGAGAAAAATTTCTGGTCATTTCTGAAACCTTAGACTCTTAGGCCTAAGAATCAGTGGTAATAAAACTCGCACATGATTCACGATGACCTGGAGGACATGTTCAAACACAGGTTGCTGGGCCCTACTTCCAGAGTTTCAGATTCAGTAGGTCTGGGGCAGGGCCTAATAATTTGTGTTTTTAACACACTTTGAAAACCACTGTTTTTTACATGTTAGTATTAAATTTAACTTCTTTAGAAAACAAAATCTAGAAGCCTCCTGGGTAAAACATTTCTCTATTTGGCTCAGGCTTTTGTTGAGTTCAAACTTGTTTATTTTAAAATATCTTATACATTCATTGTTCTTGGTTCTATAAAGGTGCCAAAAAGGAAGGAGCTGCTGGATTCTTTAAAGGAATTGGAAAGGGGCTTGTGGGTGCTGTGGCTCGTCCAACCGGTGGAATCATAGATATGGCCAGCAGCACCTTCCAAGGAATTCAGAGGTAATTAGGTACACATACTGTGTGCAAGGTTTGGGTCTGTGTGCTAATGGTTGCTAGACATGCATCAACAGGTTAAACACTTGGCCTGCTCTTCAGGATGTTGACGTCTAAGTGAAAGCTATGACAGGTTCACAAGGTGGGGTGCCACCAGAGAGGAGTAAGAAGAGACAGTTTTTATGGTTCACTTTCTCTTATTTTCAACAAATGTTGATTGGTACCTACTATATGCCAGGCCCTGTGCTAGCTGCTTGCACAGAGAGTGGACAGCCTAGTCTGTGCCTTTGTTATTTTGTTATTTTCTTTTTTTTAAGGAAAGGTGGGGGGAACTTGGAGTCCAATAGACTTTGTTTTAATACTTGGCGCATTATAATGGGCACATTATTTAAAATTACTCTGTTTTTATCAAATATTGATATAATATGGAATGTAGTACAGTATTTAATCCACACATATATTTGTATGTATTATTTTGAAAGATTCTTATGTATTTTCTTATATTTACTCTGCTGCCTTATACAGAGCAGCAGAATCAACCGAGGAAGTGTCCAGGCTCCGTCCCCCTCGTTTCATCCACGAGGACGGCATCATTCGCCCATATGAAAGGCAGGAATCCGAGGGCTATGATTTATTTGAGGTATAAATTCTCTTCTTCATGGTCACGGGTAAAATTTAATATTAAAGATTTCTAGGATGAGGATTTCATGGGTGGTTCTTAAAGTTCCTGATTCATGAACTTCTTTAAGGATTACACAGGGAACGTCATTTGTAGAGTAGAATTTATTATCTATTTTTTATTTTTGCATAATGTGTTAAATGAGAATGGTAATTTTTTTCTGCACAGGAACAAAGCCTTTTTTGTGCAGAAAAGATAATGTTAAAAGAAGTCATAGGCCTAATTACTGTTGGTGTGGTAGCTCATTTAGTTAATGGTTAACTTTGGTCTCCTACTTTATAGCCAATTATAGGAATTCCACTGCTTCCTTTGCTCCCAGCCAAATTAATTTATTTGGATTACTCTGTAAATCTAGATTTATTCAGGTAAACAGAAGCTGGAGGAGAGAAAAAAAAGATTATGCACAATTACAGTCTTTTTAAACCTTAAAAATATTTTAAGGTGCATTTTTTTGGCTTTTATTTTAGTTTTAACTTTACTACATTTAAATAATATATACATATGTAAATTGCTTTTCTCCCTTGACTGGAATCCTGTGTCCCCAAAAATTTATTAATATTTTCCTACTTTGACTTCAAAATAATACGACTCTTTATTGTTCTTAGCCTTTGGTTTTTATTGTATGTGATTACATTTTATCTTTCTGCATGCTTCTAACTTTATTTTCTTTCTTTTTCTGCCTACACAGCAAGAACCGGAAATACAGGAGTAAATGTTTCCTATACTACTACTTGATTTCATCCTTAAAAATCAAAACAAACTGTGTTATTAATTGACTGTCTTTGATTATTTAGATTGAGTGTTCATTTCAGTGAAGTTTTCTTTATAACTCTCCCCTCTCTCTCAACTTTTTATTGTAGTGGTTTGACTACACACAAAGATGGTGGTATTCCTGGTAATACTGCACGGGAATAAGGGATCAGTATAAAAGATTAAAGGGTGTAGGAAATTAACTCTCCTCTTTTTTTAGTTGGTGAAAGACTTTCTTGTGTCCAGAAGCAGACAATTTTACTATCATTTGGAAAATTTTATCTTTTCTTATGGTATTCATGTATTTTCAGGTAAAGCCGAAAAATAAGGACAATTCTCATGTCCAGTCTATTATGTGTTCTTTACATTTGTGAGTCCTGATGATGGAATTACATAACTATGTTTCACCCTTCACCCAAGATTGACTCAAATTATGGGGCTGTTAACTGGGGCATATGTTTTATTTATTTATTTATTTTTAAAAAAGATTATTTACTTATTTATTTATTTGGCACAGAGAGAGAGATAGAGAGAGCACAAGCAGGGTGAGCAGCAGGCAGAGGGAGAGCGAGAAGCAGGCTCTCTGCTGAGCAGGGAGCCCTATGCCGGACTCAATCCCAGGACCCTGGGATCATGACCTGAGCCGAAGGCAGCTGCTTAACCGACTGAGCCACCCAGGCGCCCCTGGGGCATATGTTTTAATAATTGAAATATAAGTTGCTGTTGAACCGTCCTTAGACCTCAAATAAGAGTTGAGACATGAATTTTGAGATTTTCCTTAATCTCTTTTTTCTTTTTTTTACCTCTCAGTACTCTTGCTAGTCCAATGGCAATCATTTTATAATTATGTTATATACATTCTCAGCCTTTAGCATTTTTGCTTTTGAAAACTTGAATCTCCTTGTTTGTTATGCTTATTTCACAATTAGTATTTTGAATTAACATAAATAGAAGTTGAACATATAATTTGGCAAATTATTTAAGTGTCCCCTGAATTTATAAATATCTTTATTTTGTATAGATATCTGTATTTTTAAAAACCAATCATTTTTGCGTTTAAGTTCTTAAAGAGGATTTGTTATCTTAAGTGAGAACAAAAATAATTCTAAACTATTATTTTGAAATTAGTACCCTTGTAGTTAGTTCTGAAAGTAAATTGTGTTTTGATTTCTCTCCTTATTATAAATGATAGAGATGTTTGATTTGATTTAGCAGCATCTTATCTGGCAGCCTTCATTCTTCTCCCCAAAATTGAAACCAAAGTATACACTTATACTGAATGTGCCGTCCATTTAAAGAGAGTGAAACTGCTGACATGTTAACTGTTCAGTTGGGACTATATACTGTTTAAACTGCAGTTACCAAAAGAATAAGTTGAATGCTTCTTATTTAAAACAAGCACTTTAAAGAAGAAAGAATGACAGCCAAAGATCAGCCGAAACCATAGCTGACAAACTTTTCTTGTGCCTAGATAATTGAGGGTTGGCAAAAATGTCACCGCATGTACAGTTTCTCTGAGAACCAAGCACATAACTAATTCAAGATGCTGTCTTAAATCATCACTAATAATTAGCCTTCCTTCTTAGGTAAAAGTAACGATTTTTAATTTTCCTGGATATATTGAAATTTTAATGAGACTTGACTTTTGGGATATTGTATAACTTGTTTAAATTTTTTTCTTATGGTTTACTTTCTGTTTGTTTAGCTCTTTATGTTATTAACCTTGTGATTTCCCTTTTTACAATCGCATGTCTATAAGCACAAAATTCAAGTAACTTTTTATTATTTTAGCTAAATATATCTTGTCTGATTTATTAGTTTTTGTTGTGATATCAGACAGCTTTTTAAACTTTAATATATTTATAGTTACTGGAAGAAATAGAATGGTTGTACATTAATGAGAGGACGTGGTAATCTTTTTCCATGGGTGACAAGGATAGGCATGGATAGTTAAATTCAGGTTATTTCATTCCTTGCCTATCTTGCTGTAATCACTTTGGTATGAAGTATTTATTGATTATCTAAACTGTGCTGGATATACAAAAAAAATAACACTTCAGTCCTTAAGGGACCAAGTATAACAAAATGTGTAAATAGTAAAGAGCACTATAGTGTAAAACTCTGTCCTCCCAGCCCTTACTATAACACGGGTACATTCTAAATAATTTATTTGGGAATCTTTTCATTTACTCCATTTTCTTTTTCCCTTGAGTATTGCTCTGTATTCTTTACTCAGCTTTGAAAGTTACTAAATCATATACTTTGTTTTCATAGGATATGCTTTCCTGCTTATCCTTTATTCTCCTAAGATAATTACTGTTTACACATGCATATATATATGCGCACGCACACACACACACACACATATATATAGCCAGTTTTTATTTAATATTCTTTTGGTTCCCATACTTAGGACTATATAATATTTAAAATGGTGTTTGTTGATTTTTTATTTTAATTATATTTTTCCATGTTCATAGAAATGCTTCATTCTTAATTCTTGCATTACCGTCTCTTGAAGTAACCTTACAGTGTGTATTTGACCATTCCAAGTTGTTGGCATTGAAGATGCTTCTGTTATTTTACTAATAGTAATAATTCTGTGATAAACATCATTATACATATTGCTTTTTCATGTGTTATTTCCTTAGAATTTACTTGAAAATATTGAATGCTTTTGCTAAAATATTGTAAATTCTTCAAGATGCATTTTGGGAAGGGAGAGTGAGTATTTTCTCAGCTAATCTAGTTTCCTGCTGCCATCAGTGACTGAATATCTTAATCTGATCTCAGAGTGTAGTGGATTTTAGTCGTGCTGAAAACAATTTCTATAGTGTAGTGTGATGATAAATTATACTTTAAAAGCTTTCAGTGGTTCAAAGCACAACAGCCTGATAACTAATGAAAATGTATACAAGATGGAGAGTGGGTAGTATTTCTTTCACATTGCATCTCAGATCTAAATATTTTAACATTTAAATTTCAAAGCTGAAAATGAATGTACTGAATTGTTCTATTCATTTCCCATTTTCTCTTTATTAAAGAACTTAAGGTATAAATGTTAAAAGATTTTAGCTAATTCACACAGGCAAGATGTGAAACAAGTGACTTTAAATCCCACTTGTTTCTGAGACTCATTCTGAAGATGAGATCCCACTTCTTTGGGGATTCATCTTCTGTGTTCCTGGCTTTTCATAATTGTCAAGGAATGACTGAACTGAGGATTTTTGAAAAAATGTGTATGTAAGCATTAAAATAACAACAAATGTGTTTTCTCTGCTTGTGATTATTATTGATAATGTTATCCTTTTAATAATATTGGTGTTGTATTCTGGGTTATAAATGTCACAGTCTTATTTATTAGGTATGTTTTTGTTCTGTAGTTTCATATACATTATATCATCTGATCTTTAATCATGCATTATAGATAATGTCAATAATATTTCATTAGCACTGATTATAAAAAATAACTTCATTTTTTAATGTGTGCTAATTCAAATCACAATAGTTTGGAGATAGTTGAAATGAAAATAAATGTATTTTAATGTGCTACTATTTATACTTGAATTACTTATGCTTGTTTATTGTCTTTAGCAATAAATTGTGCCAGCTATTTGAAATCTTAGAAATTCTTCATGTTTGTGTTAATATTGACATTATATTTTCTTTTCTATCAAGAATATAATTTGTTACATACATGTACTTTTCATGCATGTTTAATCTATAAGACCAAATACACAAAAACACTAAATATCAGTTATCTTGGAATTTTATTATGTGTATATCTATCTCTGTGTAAATCAGTGGTTCTTAACCTCTGAGAAGGATCACAGACCACTTAAAATATCTGATGAAAAATATGAACCATCCTCTGAAAAAAGTTGCAGAACCACATTTTCAAAATGTTATATGCTATTTTAGGTGGTTCATAGACCTCCCAGAGTCCTTCCATGGACCCGAGATTAAGAACCCCTGTAATGTTAATGTCACACTATATTAGCGTATGTTCATATTCCATTAATGAAAATGTGTGATTATTTCTGCTAGATATTTTTAAACCTCTGAGTTATCACAGAATCAGGTATATTTTATCAGAATATCACTTAATAAGCATTTAATACAGATTTGTCGTTTAAGGCACAGTGGAAGTTAATTTATAAACATGCTGTGAATATTTTTCTAGCTTCACATGCCAATATTGTGCCTTTGTTTCTAATAATTTTTTCCCTTAACTAGCACTGTTACTATAATTAACTAATATATAGTATTGGAAATACTATTTGGATGCTTGTACTGTGCAAATCTTGAGTCTTGTTTTCTTTTCAGAATCATATCAAAAAGTTAGAAGGAGAGACTTATCGATACCACTGTGCTATTTCTGGAAGCAAGAAGACAATCCTTATGGTTACAAATAGGTATTAACTTCAAGTGACATTTTTTCAAATGCAAACTACATAGATGATAAGAATTTTGAAAACTAAAATGGCAGAGGATTTGGAGAACTACACTTAAATTATAAAATGTTCCTTGTCATTAAATCACAAAAATACAATCTAGATGGGTCCTTTAAGGTTATCCGTTCCAACCCTCTCGTTTTGGAGATGCCGAAACTGAGACTTAGTATGACTCAGGTTGTTATCCCAGTTACACAGCTACTGAGTGGAGTCTAGAATGGACTTTGTACGTGTAGTAGTCATACTGTTACATGTGAATTGTAAATCCAGCTATGGAGACTGAATTCATGAATCACTTTTTCTTACTAGGTTTTATTTTAGATGATTAGCCTACCTTTTTTTAGGATGATATTACTTCTGTGTGTTTTCCTAATTTTTTTCTAAGTGTTTTGGGAGTGGTAGATAATTTTTCCAAATAAAAGAACTTAAACTACTAAGTTTATTTTCCTGAGATTTTTCCTGTATCACTTATTTCAAAATGACTATTATATGTTAATAATTTTCAAAACCTTCTAAGTTATATATTTCATAGGACTAAGAGTACTTACAGTAGGCAAAAATCTGTGTTAGATTCCTTACTACTGCACTGAAATATATTTGGGTGGGAAGAAGAAAAAGGAAAATTACAATGACAGGATTCTGATTTAAACCACGAGCTTTTTCAAGGAGTTAACCAACCAGTCATATGATTTGTCCATTAAGTATAAAAATATTCACAAAACAATCTAAAAAGTGTTTTTTACTGATTGGACAAGTAATCATTTATTTTTTATCCCCATAATTTTGTATTTTATCCATTAGATTAGGCCAAAAACAATGTTTATTTGTATTATATGTTGTACTTAGCTGCAATGACAGTGTGTTAATTCATTTTAAAATTGTATACCTTTTATATAATTCAACACTAGGTAATGGAAATCAGTTAGGAGTTTTTTGGTGGGGGTTGTTTCTGGTAATACTTAATACTTTAGAACTTGTTTGATTTAGGTATTTTGTGGGAATATTACTGTACACATTATATATCTGGTTTTTCTTCAAGTAAAATGAAAAATCATAGTAATTTTAAATCTAATCACTTACAGAGCTTTTTGGTGTTTAAAAAAATGACTCATTGCTAGACTTATGCTTATTTGCATTGTAGATAATACAGATCAGGAGTCAACAAAATTTCTTTAAAGGGCCAGATTGTAACTATTTAGGCTTCGACGGCCATACTGTGTTTCCCAGCTATTCAGCTCTGTCCTTGTGGTGGGAAAACACTCATGGACAATATGTAAATGAATGGGGGATGGCTGTGTTCCCATAAGATCTTATTTACTAACGCAGGCCATGGGCTGGATTTGGCTCACAGGCTGTAGTTTACCCACCCCTGATAAAGACAATAATTTAAAGGATGAAAATAAAGTAACCATACATTGTGGTTTGTCTAGGACAGAGCTGGTTTGCACTTTTTGTCCCAGTGAAATTATTAGTAGCCACCCCTTTCATTCTTAAAAATGTCCTCATTTGAATCAAATTATGATAACCCCTAAAAATAGCCTTTACCAGCAATCCCACCAGTTGGCTATATATGTATTTTGTAAAAACTATGTATTTCTTCAGCCAGCTACAGTATATGTATTTTGTAAAAACTACAAAAAATACATTATGTATATTTAACTAACCTAGGTTTTTCACCAAACAATGTATTATGATCATCTTCCTAGACCATTAGGTGTTTTTAGACAACATGGTTTTTTAATGACTGTACTATTATATTTATAGATATACTCTAACTTATTCAGAGATGCTACCTTCCTATTTGATACTCAGTGTTTTCTTCCCAATATTATAAACACATCTTTGCAGCTATGTCTTTTTTTCTATAATTATTTCCTTAGGATGAGTTCTTATCAGTGAGATTGCTGATTTAGAAACTGAAGATTTTTGAGACCCTTTTATATATTGCCAACTTGTTTTATCAGAACAATTGTAGTGATTTTTTTTTACATACAACTAACAGGGTAAGAGAATGCCCTTTATCCTGTGAGTTTTGCTAAGACTAGTGTTATCATTTAAACTTTTTTGTTTTTGCTAACTTAATGGGCAGAAAATAGTTCTTTGTTTTAATTAGCATTTATTTGATTGCTAATGAATATGAGCATTTTATACATTCATCATCGATGTATATTTTCTGTTCCATGAATTGCTTTTTCATATCCTTTGTTCATTTTTTATTATGTTGGTCTTCTTCTTACTGAATTTAAGTAACATTTTATAAATTAATATTAGCCCTTTTTACCCAATGTATTATTAATATTATGATTACTTTTTGAGTTTTCCAATGTATATAGAGCTTTTAATTTTTCCATATTGAAATTCATCCAAAATTTGGTCTGAATTTTTTTTTCTTATCAGTTTTTAGAAAGAAAATATGAGTTCTCGTGACCCAAATTTATTTGGCCATATCTCCCCTAGTTGGTCCTAACTCCTGCTTAGTATTTTATTTTAGTAATCTTCATTAGGAAATTGTTCTCTGAATAGACATTTTTTTTTTAACCATCTGTGTTAGTCTGTATGGGCTACTATAACAAAAATTCTATAGACAGGCAGCTTAAACAACAAACATTTATTTCACACAGTTCTGGAGGCTGGGAAGTCCAAGATCAATGTGCCAGCAGATTCTGTGTCTGGTGAGGGCTCACTTCCCGGTTCATAGATGGCCATCTTCTTGCTCTGTCCTCACATGGCAAAAGTGGTGAGGGAGTGTCCTCAGCCGTCTTTTATAAGGGCACTGTTCCCATTCCTGAGGGCTCCAACCTCATGATCTAATCACCCCCAAAGGCTCCACCTGTAATACCATCACATCAGGGTTGGGATTCAATGTATGATTTGGGGGAAGATATAAACATTCCAACCATTGCACTATCAATGTCTGACAGAAATAGGGACACAGATAAAAGTGGTATCTTCTGTTCCCTCCTCATCTAAAGGGGGACCTGTACATTATTAGTGACATCATAGTGTGCTGGGTGCTAAGATAAAGTGATATACAGAGACTCTGAAGACAGGAAAATCTCTTGGTCCAGTAAGGTGGGAACCAAGGTGTCAGGGATAAGGTGTTAGGGAGGAGGTACTTGAGCTGTGTCTTCATACATGTAAATAGCAGACAGGGATAAAACAGTATGGCACTTTGAATGGCAAGATCATTTGAAATGGCTGGACAGAGTGTTGGTGGGGAAGCATTGGGAGGTGAAATAAGTTATAGGTGTCTGCTCATGACATCTGAAGGGTATAGATTTTATTAATGTGATGGAAGATTACTAATTTCTTTAAAAGTATAAACATTGCTCATTATTGCAGCCTTTCACATAGATGTATGTACACATAGTTCACACATAAGTCCCTCTTTTTCTCACTCCCACTGAAGGCTTATACACAAGGACTAATATGATGAGGTTTGCAGTTTAGAAAGATTTCTGGCAGCAGTTTGGCTGCTGGATTGGAGGAGGATCACAATGGAGTCAGGGACCAGTTAGAGACCAGTTAGTTTTCTATTGTTGCACAGAAAATTAACATAAAATTAGCAGCTTAAAACAACACAGACTTACTGTCTCACAGTTTCTCTGGTTCTGGAGTAGGCTATGGCATGGCGGGGTGCTCTGCTCAGGGTCTCACAGGCTGAAATCAAGGTGTAAACTTCCTTTCTGAAGGCTCTGGGAAAGAATTCACTTCTAAGCTCATTTAAATGTTGGCAGAATTCAGTTCCTTGCAGTTGTAAGACTGATATTCCAGTTTCCTGGATCTCTGTCAGCTGGGCATCTGCTCTCAGCATCTGGAACCTACCCTCATTTTTGCCATATGGTTCACTGCATCTTCACCCCAGCAACCACACTCTGGATTCTCAGTCTCCAACCCAGACTTAAAGGGCCCTTGTGGTTGTGTGATGCCCATGCAGATAAACTTTTTCTTAAAATCACCTGTGCCTTCAAAAACAGACATATAGACCAATGGAACAGAATAGAGAGCCCAGATATGGACCCTCAATTCTATGGTCAAATAATCTTTGACAAAGCAGGAAAAAATATGCAATGGAAAAAAGACAGTCTCTTCAATAAATGGTGCTGGGAAAATTGGAGAGCTATAGACAGAAGAACGAAACTCGACCATTCTCTAACACCATACACAAAGATAAACTCAAAATGGATGAAAGACCTCAGTGTGAGACAGGAATCCATCAAAATCCTAGAGAACATAGGCAGTAACCTCTTTGACATCGACCACAGCAACTTCTTTCAAGATACATTTCCAAAGGCTAGTGAAACAAAAGCAAAAATGAACTTTTGGGACTTCATCAAGATAAAAAGCTTGCACAGCAAAGGAAAGAGTCAACAAAACGAGGCAACCCACAGAATGGGAGAAGATATTTGCAAATGACACTATAGACAAAGCACTGATTTCCAAGATCTGTAAAGATCTTCTCAAACTCAACACCCAAAAAACAAATAATCAAGTCAAAAAATGGGCAGAAGACATGAACAGACACTTCTCCGAAGAAGACATACAAATGGCTAACAGACACATGAAAAAATGTTCATCATCATTAGCCATCAGGGAAATTAAAATCAAAACCACATTGAGATACCATTTTACACCAGTTAGAATGGCAAAAATTGATGAGGCAAGAAACAACAAAGAAACCTCCAACGAGAGGTTGTGGAGAAAGGGGAACCCTCTTACACTGTTGGTGGAAATGCAAGTTGGTACAGCCACTTTGGAAAACAGTGGGGAGGTTCCTCAAAAAATTAAAAACAGAGCTATCCTATGACCCAGCAATTGCATTACTGGGTATTTACCCCAAAGACACAGATGTAGTGAAAAGAAGGGCCATGTGCACCCCAATGTTCATAGCAGCAATGTCTGCAATAGCCAAACTGGAAAGAGCCGAGATGCCCTTCAACTGATGAATGGATAAGGAAGATGTGGTCCATATATACAATGGAATATTACTCAGCCATCAGAAAGGATGAATACCCAACTTTTACATCAACATGGATGGGACTGGAGGAGATTATGCTAAGTGAAATAAGTCAAGCAGAGAAAGTCAATTATCATACGGTTTCACTTATTTGTGGAACATAAGGAATAGCATGGAGGACATTAGGAGAAGGAAGGGAAAAATCAGAGGGGGAGACAAACCATGAGAGACTATGGACTCTGAGAAACAAACTGAGGGTTTTAGAGGGGAGAGGGGTGGGGGGATAGGTTAGCCTGGTGATGGGTATTAAGGAGGGCACGTACTGCATGGAGCACTGGGTGTTAACACGAAAACAATAGAATCATGGATCACTACATCAAAAATTAATGATGTATGGTGACTAACAACATAAAAAAATTAAATTAAAAATAAATCACCTGTGCCTTATAATAAAATCTAATCTTGGGGGAGAAATCCATTGTATTCATAGTCATGGGGATTATATAGGCCTATATACCGGAGGATGGGGAATCTTCGGGACCGTCATAGAAGTCTGTCTGCCACACAGACTGTGGCAGTTATCCCAATAGGAAGCAGTGAGGCCTACACTAAAATAATGAAGACAGACAATAGGGGGCAGCCTTGAGAGACCAGGGCCTGGCGACTGATTGAATGTGGAAGAGAAGGGAATACAAGATGACTTTATGGTTTGGGGCTCAAGTACCAAGAGGATTGGTATTACTATTTACAGTAATTTAAGGAAAAAGATTGTTTTTGTTTGTTTTTGAATTTAGTGAGTTTGACATAGATTTGTGGTATCAAAGTAGGGGTGCCTCAGTAGTCAGGGGGACAGATACAGATGTAGATTATAAACGTAGGTGTAGGTCATTGGAGTTCGGATAAGGATTGGAGTTGAGATCTTGGAAATTTTCCTGAGAGTGTGTCAAATAGAAGACCAAGATGGTAAACATGGAACAGGAGGAAGAGAATGATGGAAATTTAGGGTGGTAGAAGAACAATATTATGATTGGCATGGTCAAGAGAGAATTTAAAGACAGTGGGAATGGTGGATTTGCATTTGACACAGTGATTTGTAATAGTTATCTGTAACTAAGCTCTTGGGATTCTTTCTCTTCTGGAGCAGGAGGCGGAGGGAATGGAATCTGGTGTGGTGTTGAAGGATGTCACAAAGATGAGAGGGCAATACCGGCACTTGTAGGCTGGGGCTAGGGATGCTGAACTTCCTACAGTACGCAGCAGTTCCAAGTCCGCCCTAAATTCCTGTAGTTCCTCTGCTGAGAGATACAGTGCCGGGGGTTTATTTCCATCCCCACCCTCCATCAGTCACCAAGTTCATTCAACTCACTTCTAAGCATCTAGAACCTAGCTTGCTCTCCCCGCTTGTCACAGCTGCTGCCTTAACTGAGGTTCTCACTATTTCCTGGTTGGACTATCATAGTAGCTTTCTACCTTGATTGTCTATCCCACCTCTCCTTCCTAGGGCCATGACTCTAAAATAGGAAACTTGATCGTGAAATTTCCCATTGCCTATAGATTTAAGTCAAAATTTACTAAAATTGCAACAACAACAACAACAAAAATACCCACAAAAAAACTTCAAGATCTGGACACTAAGCTAATTTTCTCACCTCTGTGTAGATCTAGTATTCCAGCTACAGACCTCTACATTCATCAAATAAACCTTCCCTTATACTCCTCTTTATGTCAATGCTCTGTTCCCTTTGTCTGGACTATCTCTGCCCTTTCCCACCTGGAGAACTTTCTTTCAAGAGTCCGCTCTTATACCACATACTTTACCCACATAATCAGTCCCTTTTTCTGGTGCTGCTGAAGAATTTTCCTCACATTCTGCTTCTGCACTCATCTCACTGTGCTGTCAGATACATTCACATGTTTATTTCCCTTCTAACCTAGGAGTGCCTCTCAAGCAGAAATCCTACCTTCTTGTTTCTCCAGCACCCTGGATATTTGTAGAATTAACAGTTCCTCTACTTTTCTAGTTATGCTTTCTGTAATAGAAACTTCAGAATCAGGTATGGTTATATCAGTAATTTGAATCACACACTGGGAAATCAATGTGGATGTCTTTTAAGGATTCTTTTTCCTTTTTTAAGGACAATTTTTCTTTTCTTTCTTCTTCTTCTTCTTCTTCCCCTCCTCCTCCTCCTCCTCCTCCTCCTCCATCTTTTTTTGCTATTGAGTAAAATGGGATACTCACTCTGTGATACAGTACGTTACTGTTAAAGTGTTCAAACCTGATATTTATTAGTAGGCCTAAAGTGAATCTTTGCTGACATTTGAGGTTTGTGACATTTCCCACACATTCTTTCTTGACTGGAAGGCATAAATGATTGACAGTAAAGAGCAATTAATAATTTTCCAAGTAAAACATTTTCAGGGGCTTCTGCCTTTATTGCTTCCCAGATGAGAGTACAGCCTGTTCCTTATGTGTTTCAAAGATGATTTCAGTTTTACAGTCAGTTAAAAAAAAAAAGACACTTTTCTGAATTTTGCAAGATTTGCAGAAGGGGAATTTTTGAAAGTCTGCTGTGTTAGTTGGTAGGTGCCGTATTTGCTTTTTGACAGTTACCTAGATTTTTTTTAATGTGAAGCATACTTATTTTTTTTTTTTTAGTGCCGGGTTATATTGTTTACTGAGTAAGTACTGCCTATGACATCCAGCAGAGCGAAATATTAGAATAATTAACCATGTTTATGACTACCTGAGTGTTTTTGTTTATTTTTGCAAAATAGGCGAGTGTTGTGTATAAGTGAAGTTGAAATCCTCGGCCATATGTCCATAGACTGGCAGTGTCCATTTGAAGATTTTGTACTTCCTCCCAGTGTCCATGGAAACCTGCTAAAAATTTCAATCAAGGTAAGAAAACATGAATCACATGTTTAGAGCCAAGACTTTGTTAAACGATTGGATACCAGTGCTTTCTGGCTGTCTTACTGTTAACTACACAGTGTTTGAAGGATCATCACTATGATGATGATTATATTACTGTTACTATAATATGGTGAAATACAAGGAAAGATGTATAATCAATTTATTTCTGTACTGTATTTTTTTTACAGTCCTTGATTGTGTTGAGTGTCCAGTGAAAAAATTAGGATGTTGATGCTTCCTTTTTTGGTAGAATAAAGCATTAGTAAATACAGTTTTTTTGTTTGTTTTTTTACTTCATAGGAATATTTTGCTGTAAGCTTAGATGCTTTTTGGAACATTCCCTTTTTTTGGCTTTTAGGAGATTATTATAAATATTATATCTAAAACACTCATGTTTTATCATATTTGGCACTTACAGGATACTAATACAATTTAAGTATATGATAATACTCTTCCTTCCCATCATTTTCTAAAGAAGAACTTTTAATTACATAGCAAGTAATTAGAAGAAATGATACCCCAACCCTTTGCTTAGTTCTCAGGCCCACTTTTTACTTTGAAATGTATCATTTTTCTCATATATGATATATTATAAATTTATTTTCACCCCTTTAAAAAAAACTACAAATTGTGGGGCGCCTGGGTGGCTCAGTTGGTTAAGCGTCTGCCTTCGGCTCAGGTCATGGACCCAGGGTTCTGGGATCGAGCCCCGCATCGGACTCCCTGCTCTGTGGGGAGCCTGCTTCTCCCTCTTCCTCTGCCTGCCTGCTCTGCCTACTTGTGCTCTCTCTCTGTCAAATAAAAAAAAAAACAAAAACTACAAATTGTCATTCTGAGGATGGTAATTCCTGGAGTATGTATTTTCTCCTAAACAACAATGATATTATCTCTATTACTGAAAGTATCTGAAAAACATTTATCATAAAATTTAATAGTTAGAGATGCAGGTACTATTACCCTTTAATTTATGTTTTCTTTTCATAGAAGTTTACAAATAAAAGAAACTGTGAAACAATACCATTTTGCATTTCAGCTTTATCTCATTGTAGAACGTCAAAATTGAAAGAGCCCCTTGATATATGAAACATGGTTTTCAAACCAGAGAAGATTCTGTCACTCTGCATATATATTCAGTTATCACTTTTCTTTCACATCAGTGGTGAGAACTGACTCAATGTGTTTTACATTATATAAGAATTTTATCTATCAGCCAAGGAAATGAAGGAAGGGTTTTTTGATTTGTCAGATGTGGTGAGTTATCAGGTGGTGTTTCTGTAGGCTATTTATCATAGCCTATAGAAAGCCATTATTTTATCCAGATAGACGTGTAGTCATCCAATTTCATAAATTCTAACAGCTCACATATGGAACCACTATCCTTGTACCAAAATGATTTAGTTCTTATCATACCTGAATATGGATATTTGGTTAGTCTGTAGGTTATAAAATAGAATTGACATTTAAGCATCCAATTAAAGGATATGGTTTTTTTTCTTCCCCAGAATAATTTCTTTTCTGTCTTTGTTTCTTTTGAAACAGGAGCGGGGTCTGTTCCACAAAAAAGACAGTGCCAGTCATGGCTGTCGGAACATTTACCTGCAGAACACCACCACAGCAGAGGTAAACAATTTACTTTAAAGAATGCCCCTTTAGTTTTTTGAGCTGCAAGATTTTTTTAAAAATCTGTTATAATAATACCCATTATTTCTCCTAAAAGATTTTCCGGTTTTATCTGGTTGGATAGGTGAGCTTAAAATAATATACTGTGGGCTTACGTGCAGAAGGGTCTTATTTTGCACAACCCGTAAAGACTGTGTGTTCTTGTCCTTCACTGTTGGACCTGTGTGGAGAGCTTCATTCAGCTCTTACTTTCATGCCTTTCTCCTCCACATGAGCCTGTACTTGTCTTTACCATTCATAGTAAATATTTTATTTTACAGAAAGTATATAATGCCATTGATGACGCACGGTCAATGAGACACCAGCAAAAATTGATGAAGCAATCATCACTGAAACTTCTCAGGCCCCAAATACCATTTTAATCACAGATCCCAGGGGGCTGCTACTGGGAGAAAAACCAACCAGTTGGTCTTGTCTATAAATCACTCTTCTTTATCTTGCTAAAGAGAATTTTTCAAGCAATCCTTTAGTTTTAGAATTTTTTTTCTAGGATCATGAGTATTGGATTTTCCATGTTTTCCCCTTTAGGTTTGACTCTAATTTTGTAACCATCTGTACGTCAGCAACTCACTTCTACACTGCCACCTAAATGGGTCAGGCCCTCAAAGAAATATCACTTGAAACTCAGAGTGAAATTTCCATTAATGTTAAAGTTGTGAAGCAAAGGGCAATGGACCTGTTTTTAATTAAAGTTTTTGCTGAAGAATAAGAGAAGAGCTTAGAATGACTAGTGTTCTTTAGGAGGTTTGGACAAACCTTTGGACAGGTATTGGATATTTTATTTAAAGGTAATTTGTTCAATAACTGAACTGAGGTCATATTTTTGGTAAATCAGATAACTGAAGAAAAGCCACTAAAGGGAGAGATGACATGTTTTCTATTTTCTTTTCATGAAAACGTTATTTTTCTCCTAATAAAAACATGTTTTACTTTGCTGCTTATTTTTCTTCCTTGCATTAGGATATAAAAACATATGGAAAATCAAATCTAAAAATATCTGTGGTCTGTGCTGTGTAATGTAGCCTTCATAAAACTTTTGAAATTATTTACATGCTCCTTTGAGAGGAACTTAAGTGGCACAATTATAACTTGCTGATACATGGAAATATTGTACTTTATGTTTTTCAAGACTCAAATATGAAAAGCTCAGTATTTTTATATTTCTAGAAATTGTTTTTTTATAAGTTGAAAGATTTTTAAGAGCATCATAAACTAATACTTAATCCTATTGCATACCTAGAAATGTATTTTAAATACTTATTAGGAAGAATGAAAAATCTCTAGTTATTTTATATATAAATAAAATAAAGCATATATAACAACACTGTGGAAAATACCTGGTAAGCATGTCCTTTGAGGGAGCAAACTTATGAGAATCCGTTCAGTACAGCATTATTTTTGTCCTTTCCACATCTCACTTATGCTGATCAGAGATATACTGCCTATAAAAGCTTTTTTTAAAATGCTCAGAAGTATATACCTTGAATGAATCTTTACATTCACTCATGGATTTTAACATGACATTTATTTCAAATCACTGAATTAATGATGTAAATGAAGATGTGGACATACCTGGTTTGCTCTGTTTTTGTTGATAGGTGGTCAGGCTTCTACTATTTTTATTGATGTTTTTTAAGACCAGCCTTAAAACTTTTTAAATTTTTCCTAGTTAATAATTACTGTAGACTCCAAAAGGAGGATATAATAACTGATACCCTAAATATTTGATCTATGATACAGTTATGGTGGGCTTTGCCTTTTCAACATCATTTATTTTTCTGTGAAGGAACATGTCATATATAAAACTTCTAGCCTTAAACAATTTCTGTGTCATTCGTTAATCACAACTTATTACAGGGAGTATCATAAACAGAATTTCATAGCAAATGTGTTAGTTTTTTGTGTCTTTAAAGCTGACTTAATCAGGAATTTGAGATATCTGATTATATATTTCATAGGAATCACAGCTATTGACGATGTCCTAAATATTTAAGAAACCATATTGTACTGATGGCATGTACAAAACATTGAACTAAAAAATTTTTATAGAAATATATAAATTCATCATCTCAGTTGGCTTAAAAGTAAACTTTCAAATGTTTGTGACATTCTAATTTGATTTAATCCCCTGGGACAGAAATAATTCATTGGTAGAGTATAATGTCTTTTGTGTTTTTAAAAATGCTTTGAGAGTTAATTATTTGCTTATGAACTACTGAGAGAAATAAAATATTTAATGCATTGTTTACGAGTGTGAAGACTGTGGGTTTGTGTTAAATATTCAGATAACACTTACCTTTCCTTTCTTTGTCTTTCCCTTTTCCTTTCCCAATCCTGTAATAGTGGGGACTTAAATTAATAGTAATGGAGCACTTAAAAAATGCTAGTTAGGGAAAGGCTTTGCTGGTGGGTACTGAGGTCTCCAGTGCAAGGGGATGTATTTGACAAGGGCCCTGCTCCAACACTTTGAAATCCTTGGCTGCTTTTGCACTGGGTTATGCTTTCCATGGTTTCTCTCCGTCATTGATGGTGTATGGCAAGGATACTAGGGCAGGCCCATTCCTGGAGACAGGAATTGCTCTGATAGCTGACTGGCTTGAAGACTCTTCAGTGGCCTTGCAGAACCTTTCTTAGACTGCATGGTAGTCTGGGAGGCTTCCACCAAGTCTGTTTCTCTCCCCTCCCCTCCCCCCAGTCCCTCTACTGGGAGATCACACTACAAATCTGAAGGCGCTTCCAGTACTGTATTATGCAATAAGAAGAACAGGTGCATGATGTGGACTGTAGCAAAGCAGGGGCATTGAAATAAGAACGAACAAAATATTGGAAGATGTGTAGACCAAAGTTTCATACAAAAAATCTGATCTAGGATGGATTTACTTACATGTGTTTCATGATTTTGAATTATGTTTGAGGGAGGAAACTATCTTTTCAGTTTTTTGTTTTATTTATTTTTTTGGGTTTTTTTGTTCGTTTGTTTGTCTTGTTTTGTTTTGTGCTTTAAGGCCTCTGTGTTGATCTGGTGTTACCTCTAGCTGTATTTTTAAGTGTTCCACATGCATTTCTAAGGCACACAGCCAGGACTAAAGATTAATGCTCTGGTCTTAAAATAATTAAAGAAGAGTTCTACAAATATCTATGCCGGTTAAAATATAGAGATGCAATTAGTGACAGAGCTACAAGAACCATCTTTTTACTGGGGAGAAAACGATCTTCTTCGAGGCACAAGTCCTTTTGGTTGAGAATTACTGCCAGAAGGTCCTCTAGTACTGATGGAAGTGGGTTCACTGCGCATATGTGTTGGTTCTGAAAAGAAAGGGAAACTCACCGGAGCAGAGGGGGAGCACATTTCTCTTGGTAATTGTGCCTACAGTGGAAGAATTTAGGCTTATTCTTGAATTCATGCTTGAAAGTATCTTGAGTTACAAGGCTGTATCATTCAAATAGTCAACATAGTGGGTCTCTTAGATCTGAAAAAGCCTTTAGAAAGGCCTTTTGGGTTTGTTTTGTTTTGTTTTTACATAGACCCACCATCCCTTACCAAAATTCAAAAAAGCCCAGAAAACTAAAAAGTTTTTCATAAATTTGAAGTAAACACATTTGACAGAAAAATCTGAACTGACATTTGGCTAATTTTGGCATTTATTATTTTTGGTATAAATGAGTTGGGCTGTAGCAAAATTAATATATTCAGTTATGGGGTACTGCTCCAGACTTCTTTGGAGGTGTAGAAGCTATGTGGTGTATGAAGCATATTTTGCCTTTCTACAATTTAAAAAGCTTTGTATTCTGAATCACATCTGGTCAAAGGGTTTCAGATAAGAGATTGTAGATCTGTATACCCTTAAAATTATCAATTTATTAAAGTTGCTTCCCAAATTTTAGAAAAAAACCTAAACTACAGGAGGAGCAACTGAATTTTCTTCTACTTCGGACCCTGCCAGTGTTCCATTTTACAGTTATACTGGAAAATTGTTCTGATAAAATGTTCAGAGTAATTGATGTTGACATAGAGGAGACTGAAATATTACCATAGGTTGATGCATCATAAAGATTTGTGAAAACTATGGAGAAAAAAATACAAATTAGAACAAAGTCATGATTTCTGCCCCCCCCCTTATATATTAAGTAAGTAAGTATCTGGTGGATGAAAAGTTTTTAGAATTGACCTCCAGTGGGAAAATAATTCGAATAGTAATGAAATAAGCTAACATGATCCTCTGCCTTGATAGTATCCACTAGGATAATAGTGAACACTTCACAAAGAGGATTCAGCTCTCAGTATTTTTTTTTACCTTGAAGAACCAAATGGTTTCTTCAGAGATTGACTATAGTGCTTAAAGTTTCCCAGGGGTAGTTTAAATTCCATGATAAATAATTTCATTAAAAATAGATTTCAGATCTTGGTCTTTGGATTTGTTTGTTTTTGTAGAAAACATTTACCTTGGGTGCCTGGATGGCTCAGTCAGTTAAGTGTCTGCCTTCAGCCCATGTCCGGCTCCCTGCTCATGAGGGAGTCGGTTTCTTTCTCTCCTTCTGCCCCTCTCCCCCTCCCCCCCCCGCACTTGCGTGCAATCTCTCTCCCTCTCTAATAAATAAAATCTTTTAAAAAAAGTTTATCTTATAATTCCGTTTTTTTCTCAAACTACTTTCCTCCTTTGTCATCATTTAAGCTTTATACATCTTTTTTCCTTTCTTATATATCATTTTATTTCTTTTTACAGTACATTTCCATTATTAAATTCTCTTCATTAAGTAGATTTTATACTGGTAGTTGGCATACTATAACCCAGGGGCCAAAAAAATCTGTTCTTGTAAATAAACACAACACCCATTCATTTGTCTTGGTTATGGTAGTTCCCACTCTACTGTGGCAGAGTTGGGTAGCTGTGACAGAAGCAATATGGCTGACATATCCTAAAATAGTTACTATCTGACCCTTTACAGAACAAGTCCAACAATCTTGATATACTATATAATGAATCTTACAGATGGAACAGAAACAAGACACTAGATGATTTACCCAAGATCTTTTGGTGAGATAGGAGTTAAAATTAGGATCCAACACCTACCAACCTCCCTTTTTTATCTCCACCTCTTCCTGGAAACAAGGATACTTGGGTCAGTTTTGAATGAACATGGCCAATGTTAGCTTCTTGGATTTATTTTAGAACCTCACAGCCTTATCCCAAAATTATTTATGTATTTTCTCCTCATCTGTGTTTTAGGTCTAACCGTGACACAAGTATTTCCCATAGTAACATTCAAATCTAAACTGGCCCTTTGTCTAAATTTATTTTTTCCTAGAGAATTGTTATGTGTGGTCTAATATTATTGTAGCAGTTTACTAGCAAAGATACCTTTTGAGGTGCAAAAATTAGGAAGTAAAAACTTTGGGTATAAGACATAAAACTTGCCTCTTTTCTAACGTACAGCTGGAATGAAGAACCAAATGCAGGGTCTTCGGCCATATTCAAACCATTAGAGAGTTCTACTGATATCAGAAGCAGAGAAAAATGCCCAAGATACATACTTTATCACAATTAGATAGGGGCTTACCAAGGAAGAAATGATATTTTAAAGCACAGTACATCATATGATAGAGTAGTAATGTAACAAATGAGCAGGTGTTTGAAGATTGCAATTTGAATGGAAGCTACAACATTTTAGCTTCATCAGAGGATTCTGCTGCAAATCAGTTAAACAAGCACTTATTGATGGTTTAAATTAAGAAGCCACATTTGAACAGGGCCCACTTCCCTTCCCTATGGAGTGCTGTTAAAGATTCTTAACCTACTGTGACACTTCTGATCAAATCTTCCCTATTTCATTCAATTCAGGTTGATTTACACTTTCAAAAATAGTTTAAGAAAAAGGGTGTGTGTGTCATGAATAGAGGATTAGCAGAATTCTTAATTTTTTTAAAATAAAGATTTCCTAGACTCTGCAGTCATTTGAATATCAGTAACTGTGTTATGTCAGTAGTAGATTTTTTTTTTCTTTAAGATAAGAGAGTCATACTTCTGAGAGATTCTGAAATAGTTGTAAGGTCTTCATGACATTTTAATACATGTGGAATTATTGACCACAAATACATTGCAGGAAACAGTTCCTTGCCCATGTTAAAGATTCCTATGGTTAAAGTTTAAAGATCTAGAAAGTGCTTCTTTTGAGTTGACCCCAAATGAATAGAGTGGAAATCTTGCATGACTATTATTACAATCCAGATGGTGAATGGATACTATTGAAAACAGTTTTGTAAGGGCCATTAAGAGTGATTACCCATGACTTACACTGGCGAATAAGAATATATTGCCCATTCTACCTAAAATTAATGACTCAGTCGGTGTTGAATGCAGCTCTTTTAGAAGCACCAATAGTGCTTATTTTTATGTCAAATTGATTAATTTTAATATCCTTTTTTGGGGAGAAAACATTCAGGGGCCGTTGTTTTAATTGTACTTAAATTCATAGAATTTCATATTCATATAATTATAATAGTCCCTGGTTGGAAGGTCCTTATATTCAGCATGAAGCTGTTTTTCTATATATGGAAGCCTATATATGGGAGCACTGCATAATGGAATTAAGGGTTGGTCTCATGTGCTACCATTCATTCAATAAAGCATGTAAGTCTTCAAGTTCTCATCTTTTTCTCTCTACGATCCCTGATTAGACATAACTTCAAGTCATCAACAAACAGTTTACCCATGTCCCTCTCAGATGGTACACTGAGCTAACACTGAGCTGAACCAGATACAGTACACTGCAGGAACCAAATAAGGCAGAGTGGAACTTGGACAATTCCATATTTTCTTCTGCTGTCCTGCTAGTAATAAGTATCCCAACCTATTAACTACTTAAATAAAATTACCCCATTGTTGTAATGGGGTAATTTTATTTGTCCCCATTATATACTGTCCCCATTATATACAATATAATGTCCCCATTATTCTACTTTATTCCACTTATAACTTACTTACACAAAAAATTGTTGAGTTATCCCTTTGATCGATCTTACTATGCTTGATCTTAGCCAAAAGGCTCTTACTAAAAGCAAGAGTGAATTTGTGTGGTACTATAAATTTAGAAATCAAAAGACCCCCCAAAAATCCTTTTGCCTCCCTCAGCCTCAGTTTCTTCATTTGAAAACAAGATCTTTGGACCAGATCTACCTTTTTGTGACTGTTACAAATTTTAGTTATTGATAAAACAGTAAGTTTATAATTGTTATTTTGAAGTGTGA